GATTGACGTACGTGAATCTTTTCTCGCGTGGACACAGTTTTTCCCACACGTCGTGAAGCTGCAATTGTTGCACAGCTGATCTAAGGGCAGAGCTCGTGTTCGTGCTACTCGAATCACATGCATGAAGCACGCAATTGAAATCGCCGGCCAGGATGACATGCCTAGTGCGATGACAGAGGTAGTAAGCAAGCGTTCCATTGAAGAAATCCTCCCGAGTTGCACGTTGTGAGGAGCCAGAGGGAGTGTAGAAATTACAAATCGTCGTGTCTTGTACTCTCAGAGCAAGCAGTCGACCATCCAGACTTTTCTCAACGTGAGAGACCTGGATATGTTCCTTCAGTGCCATGGCCGTTCCTCTTCTCGTGTGGTCCACATTTGAGAAAACGACGAAGCTAGGCAAGAAGAGCTGTTCGTTTTCTACTTCTTGCAGACACACAATATCGAGGCTTTGGCTGTTGATGAAGTTTCGTAGCGCGTTCAGTTTTGTTGAACTCGTGATGGTGCCGATGTTGATCGACGAGATATTATACGACGTGAGAGCCATTTATGGGTGGGAATCCTCATCCTTCATCGTCGTCCCGACGAGGTTTTGTGCCCACTGGACGTCCTCTGCCTCGTCTGCTGCTCGTGGATGTGGAATATTCATCAGTTTCATTCCCGTTGCCGCTTTTGCTCTGCGATCGCGGTGCATTTTCTGGTTTTTTAAATACATCGACCAACGACAGACACGACAGCTTGCGGTGGATTGGGTACTCGTTGTGTTTGTGGGCATAACGACACAGCACCCACTGTAGGCAGGCTGTTTGTGTTCGTTTTCAGGCCTGAGGATTCACCCTGGCTCGTGCGTTTCGGCAGTTCGGGAAAAACGTCCAACAATACCGTTGGTGGAGCGGTGGATTTTTCGCACCAGCTGGTTTTTTCGGTTAATTACCGGTTGTTGACCTATAACTCTGTCCAGTTTGCTTCGTCACGTTTGCGTAGCTTTTCTGAAACATTAGTTTCTTGTTCTGGACACATGATATGCCAGTGTGTGCGTGCTCTTTGCAGTGCCGGCAGGATTGCATCTGCCCCTTGTACACCACGAACGGTTGCTCTCCGTCGATGATGACCCACGAGTCGATGTTCCGCTGCATAACATACGGACAGACCATATACCGAGTGGTATGCCTTCGCATTCGTTGTTTTCACTCCATGTTACCTCGCGAATCGAGATTACTTCGCCGAACGCGCTTAGGAATTGTACGACCTTCTCTTCAGATACACCTTCGGAGAGGTCGTAAACCGTCACCTCAACACTACCGTCTTCCAACGTAATACGAAGCTTGTGTTTCTTCCCCTCACACTCCACTTCATGTTTTCCATCATGTTCGTCAACAACTTTTTGTGCAAGCGTCAAGTCACTGACTTTGATAAACGCACATGCTCCACCTCTGTGGCACTGTAGTCTTTTGATATTTTCCCTTTTCAAACCGAGAACCCACCGCCAAAATCCTTAAAGTTTTGCGACCGATGGCTTGATGGTGAAATTCGAATAATCGATTTTAAAAGTGTTTTCTCACCTCATCGCGGAACACTTAACCACGCGACGGACGCGGCACAGCGAAGTAGACAAATATCCAACAGTAAATGCTTCACTTGTGATAACCGCAATCGAAAAAATAACGTCTGCACGTCTCAGAAGCTGAGCGATAACTGCGTGGTCGAAACCACTACAGATACGATTTATAGAGCAGCATTTAAACTTAAGACTTCAGCTATGGCTAGACCCGATGGTGTTCCGTTGATTATTCTTAAAAAGAGCATCACTTGTCTTTTAGATCCACTGCGTAGCATATTCCAGCTCTCTCTTACCGTCTTGCTGGAAGACTGCGGATATGTTTCCTGTTCATAAAAAGGGAAGCAAACGCGACGTAAACAACTACCGGGGAATCACGTCGCTGAGTTATGTAGCAAAACTTTTTGAATTGGTTGTCATCGAATGTCCCTAAATGCGTATAATGCAATATCTAAGTATATATCAACACGGATTCTTAACTGGGCGTTCCACAACTACGAACCTGCTGTGCCTAACGTCTTACATCACAGACCGTTTGATTGCTCGGACCCAAACGGACGTTATCTACACAGATGTTACGGCAGCTTTCGATAAGCTGAACCACGAAATTGCGATCGCTAAGCATGATAGGATAGCGATCGGTGGAAATCTTTTGAAATGGCTTCGTTCATACCTCACGGAGCGCCAACTGACAGTAACTTTGGGTACTTGTCGCTCAGCAAGCTTCTGCGCAAAGTCCGGTATACCTCAAGGTAGCCATCTGGGACCAATGATATTTCTCCTTTACTTCGACGACGTTCACCATGTTATCACAGGGCCACGATTATCGTTTGCAGACGATCTGAACGTTTTTCTGCGCATCCGCTCACTCGCCGACTGCCGTTCTCTCCAAAACCAGATTGACATCTAGTCTAAACTGACTGGTGGTCAACCCAGCTAAGTGTACAATCATTACTTTCTCACGCAAGAAACAACCGATTATTACTACAAACTACTAGGCACGACTATCGAACGGGTGCATTGCGTGAAAGACTTAGGCGTTTTTCTAGACTCAAAGCTGACATACTCACACCATATATCGTATGTCGTCAACAAACCGTCCAGAACTCTTGGCTTTATCCTCAAGATTACTAAGAACTTTACAGAAATTTACTGCTTGGAATCGCTCTATTGCTCTCTCGTACGACCTACGTTAGAATACTGCTCTGCAGACTGGAGCCCGAACTACAATAATGGGGCCGAGCGAATTGAATCTGTGCAACGACGTTTTCTTCGCTTCGCGCTCCGTAAGCTGCCTTGGAGATATCCACTTCGTCTTGCAAGCTACGAGAATCGCTGCCAATTGATCAATAGCGAGCCCTTACGTATCCGAAGAGATGTTTTCAGAGCCTTAACCGTCGCCGATACTCTGCAAGGAAGAATCGACTGCGAAGCAATTCTGCAACAAGTGAACATTAATGTTCAACCTCGATCACTACGTAATAGTCTTATGCAGAGACTTCCACTTCTTCGAACTAATTATAGCTTAGGGAGCGCTATTTACGGCTTGCAGCGAGTGTTCAACCGAGTAGCGTCGATGTTCGATTTCCAATTGACACGGAATATGCTTCGCCGAAGATTCTCTGCCTTTTTTGCTGACCGAAGGCGTTTGACGCCCAACAGCTAAGTGTAAAATTTAAGACTTACACATTTTTAGTTATTTTCGTTTGTAACTGTAGTATATGTAGTCTGTATAATCTGTAATTTTTTTTACAACACATCATTGGGACTATTTCTAGTCTGTTGATGCAAACATAACAAATAAACAAATAATCATCAAACATATGTAAAACTAAATCACTGATGTTTCGCGATAAATCTGTTTGATATTAAATGCGGGGGTTAGGAAAGGGGTGTAAGTGACTTTGATCGATTCTCTTCATCGACTTTCTCTTTCGTTAATAATTCAGCTGCAAACACATTCCTTGATTCGTGTACCATTATGGATGCTAGATGAGAACCTTCTTTATCAAACTATGTGGCAGAAATAGCGCAAAATCTGTTTATAAAGCTTTGGCTATCAAAAGAGAAAGTCGATGAAGAGGATCATCAAAGTCACTTACACCCCTTTCCTTCTAACCCCCTCAAATGTTTTCATTTACGTGAACGGAACTAGGCGCTGATTGGAATAGAGCGCATCACGGTATTTTTGCTAGTTTTGGAACTTGAAAACTCACGTTCCCCAATCCCCCTTCATGTCCGGGATATTTAATTTTAAGTGAAAGACCCTGAACCTGACAGTCCTCAAAATAATGTAGAGGTTTGAAAAAATAAAGGTTTATCGTTAATAGAACTGATGAGCACCAACTAGTGTTTAGCTTTCCTCCCGTAACGGTTCATAGTTTTCAGTTGATGTAGTGCAGTTGTTTTCATATTTTAAAATATAATGTTGGAACGTTAACGCGTTTGCCTACGAAAAATATCAGCCATCACAGGTACAACCATACATATTTTCAAACAAACCGTTTTATTTGTACTTACCAACTTCAATCAAATTGCCCGTCCAAGTGACGCAACAATCCGCTTTGGAACAAATTAGCTCTGAAGCCGTAAACGTTTCCCTCGGAAAGCTGATCAGAAAAAAACACCCGACCTTCTCTTTCCATAGGCAACACACTTTTCAGGTATTTTCTTCTTAAGGCTATGTTTTCATACACTCTTGTTTGACGAATGATAAGCAAAATGGAAATTTCACTAAATGTCATGATCACTGGAAGAGTACGCCTTCGATCGGAGTAGAAATTTGCACCCTCAAGAGCTGTCATCCCGGAGGACGAAGCCATGGACTGGCGCCGGCACCATCGTCTGCGTCGTCGTAACCATTGGATCAAGAATGCAACTTCCAGGTGGAGCTAGCCGTCTGCACGAAGAACGACTCGTGTGATCTGGGAAAGGAATTTCAATGGAGTTGTTGCCCCTGCTTTGTGTAATTATTTATCTTAGTTTATTCCTACTTTCTCTGTGTTATTTTGCGACCTCGCAATAATAAGTGTTTCCTCTGGGTCTGGGACTTAGTGGGTGAGGAGAACATGTTTGTGTCTATGGAACATTTTAGACAGTTTTCATGAACATTACTTGACCGGAAATCAGAATAAAAAAAAAAATTCGCGAGTGAGAGTAGGTCCTACCATCAGCTCCATAGAACTGGTCATTCATCTGTTGATCAGTTCGGACTGCTGATTGGTTTCTGTATTGCTATCTGTAATATGCACAGTGAAACGAACACCCTCTTTGCCAATCATGTTCATTTACTAGGCAAGCACACTTCGAACATCTGAAGACGACTGTAAATTAGGTACGGATAATAGGACAATAGTTTAACACATTCAAGTCGTCGGTTTCGAAACAATGTGCTTGCTGCCAGTGTTAACACGTAAAAACTAATACACCCTTCTCTCTCCCCTAGGAGGAAGAGCTTAAAAAACGTCAAGAGCTCGAAAATATTATCGCCGAAAACAATCGGAAAATCGAAGAGGCCCAACGGAAATTGGTAGGTTGCACTGTGAAATCGCACAACAAGTCATCAACTGATTACATTCGAACTATTTCAGGCCGAAGACCGACTGGCGATAATAGAAGAGCAAAGAAAAATGGATGAAGAACGTCAGAAGATGCGCAAAGAGCAGGAAAAGCGTGTCAAGGAAGAGCAGAAAATGATTCTGGGCAAAAACAATTCGCGACCCAAGCTTTCGTTCTCGCTAAAACCGTAGTTAGTCTGTGAGTGTGAGTTGAAAAGTGTTTGAACGCTGCGCCACGTGTCTTTAGGTTTGTTTTTCCTGGGTACAGTAGCAACGTGGAACTAGCACGTTGATCATTTGTTCTATGCTGTACCGCATCCGTGGATTAACCGTTTATAGTACCGTCAACTATAGATAGTATGAGCCACGCGCGAAACGAATGATAAACATACCATATATTCATGTAAATCACGTATCGTGATGCGTTGTAAGAACTGTGATTCCGAAGGGACGCAGCTCCCGTCGACCAGTTCTGCGATCTTCCTAACTAAGGTAGAATTATGTTCTATTTTACTGTAAATTCTATTGTGATAACGCTTTTGTTGAAGATGATATCACTTTCTATGAACTGAAATTTTTGAAAGACTACCTAGATACGACCCTGCTTATCATTTTCATCTTCAACGACAGCGAATCGCATTTAAAAAAAAAACCTGTACAGTTACTCCTTTTAGGTACTTTATTTTAAAGGATGCTAGATTTGAGTCGTTTCCATTTGTTTCTACTGAATGAATCAAATAAATGCAAAAGTTTTCAGCAAAAGCAACACAAATAGTAACTCACTTAACCGATAAGCTTTTTATTGCGTAAAAATTGTTCAAAGTATGTTTGGTTTTGGAATGCTTGAAGCTACAATAAAAAATTAGTTGGTGATTCACAATATATACCGATCTTACGTTCCGTAAAGAAGAATCAGAAAGTAGCGCACAGTAAACTAACAAACTGCCTATAAAAGCATGTCAGTCCCATCTGGAAAATCAGCAAGTCGAGAAAAACGTCGTTGAAGATGTATTTGTCCGTAGGCTCTTATAAATGGCATAACCTAGTTTTTTGGTATTTTTCACGATGTTTTTTGAACAAATAATTTAACTTTTAGTGCACAGCGTAAAATACCGGTAGTTGACAATCGATTCGAATGGATAACTTATTTCTGACAAAAACCCACATGGGACTATTATGCTTTTATGGGCAGCAAAAGTGAAAGTTGTTCAATTCAAAAGTTCTTGGGAGCGTCCGTTTATGTACAATTAAGGAAGCAATATCGGGCAATAAACGAACAGCGATTAGTGGAAAAGCAGCTTGAAATCCGCATGTTTCTCCTGAAAGCCGAACAGAAGCAACAGAAGCCAATTCTTCAGCAAACAAACAAAAACTGAACACTAACACTCGCACGGCAGTGCAAAAGTTTTGCAATTTCCCAAACACTGAATAAAAATAGTTTGTAATTGCTACAACTCACACCAGCCGTGTTCTCATTCTGCATCCGAAAGCGACCTGCACGATGGCTATTAATAGAGTGAAAGCCTTGCGCTGTAACTGGAAAGGGACGAAACAACTTGTTTGGCAAACCCAGCACCCGCCAGCTAGACGCCCGCGATCCTCATCGAAGCAGGACCACGGCAAGTTTTGGCAAATTGGTTAATTATTTTTGATGTAATGTCATTGCTCTTCCGCACGATTGCAGAAGGGTTTCGTTTGCATTGTAAATAGGGGCAACGATGGATCCCGTGGTATGAACGAATCGTGTGGACATGCAAAGCTCCGAGACGGGCTTTCATGACTAACGCTAATTTGGCATAACTTTTGGCATGATTTCTTTGCAGATAGTGTATAGGATAGGTAGATGGGGAACCAGGCAAGAAAAACGGGACATCGTCGTCAGAAATAAGAAAGTTCCAGAATGATTTATGAATCCACACAGTGACGTGATCTATTCCTTTTATTGCTAGCAGAACTGCTCAAAATAATGACAACCCCCGGGAATGTTTTTTCTTAGGCTATCTTGTTTGGTATACACAGTTAGGATATTTCAATAACATTTTCCCGAATTACGCCGCTAGCCCGAATGTAATACTAACCCAAATTGTCTGAAAGCAGTGTCATTTTAAACCCAATATTTGTAACAAAACAGACATTTCTGAAATGTGGGAATGTCTTCAAAAATATTAGATTCTGATTTTTCATCGAACTTTCAAATCCAAGTAAAGCTTATTTTTTTCCAAATTTCTCGAAAGAACTACTGTCTTATATATTTAAAGGAAGTACCGTAAACCGCCATAATTCTGAGCAGCTAAGAAAAACGTTATTTAAACTAAGTGATTAAAAAGTTTTGTAGCTAATAGCGATAAACTATTTCTACAAAAAACTACCAATGTCTGTGACATAACCTTGCTAAATGAACCACATGCCCCAAACAACTCCTAGAACGGCTCCCATACACTCTCCAAGCTGAATCGTAAGTCCCCCCCCCCCTTTTCTTATATCATTGCATGCAAAATAATAACCCAATGCAGGTCAATTGAATATGCCTGAATGAATTAGTTACAATGATTGTATGAACATTAAGGACAGTATAATATACTAATTGAATAAAATTAATATTTACCTGTTAATAATAGTGTACCAGCTTGCATGCAGTGACGCCTGCTACGATATCTACGCTTTTACCGCAACTTGGCTTAATGCACAGAACAGAAGGAGAAACCCAAACAAATCGGTGAATCAAAAGTGGTTCATTTTTCTGATCAACAAGCGATGTGTTTTTTTTTTTTTTTTTTTTTTTATTATAGTCACTTTAACGCTCTTGGGTCATTCGTGACTTGTCCGGGGGTGAGATTTAAACTCGAGACTTTGGCGTGAGAGGTATGGATTCAAACCACTACGCCGGGGGTCGCCCCCACAAGCGATGTGTTGTGGTAGCGTTCCACACGGGCTTTCTATGCGCACTCACACTATCATAGCATGCTGCCTATCTTAACTACAGGCAGAAGTTGCCTTCTACCGCTAGGTGCGCTAGTGTTCGCAAAGGACAAGTGGAGCCACTTCTGATCCGAAGTTCCACTCCTGTGCTTAAGGTCTGAGGTCACGATCCGCCATTTTTGATGGTTTTTTCGAAAAACTGGTGTTTAAACCCAATTATCTCGAATATGGTAAAGATTATCGCAAAATCCAACTGACAATCGTTTCTAATTATGCCAAAGAATATTCTGTGGAATTTTCAAAGTTCTGGGAGTTCTCAAATTTAAACTTTGATAACTTTTTGTTACCATTTCTGGAACCGGTTTTAGTGACTTTATGCCTTTCTCTCAAAGTTTTTAGTTGTTAGAGAAATAGGATCGATAATTCCTCCTGACAAAAGTTTTGTATTTCCCTAAGGATCATTTTAGAACAAAAAAAAAATGTGTGCACTCGCTATAATTTTTGAGAAACTCGCCTTCAAAGTTGCAAAATATTCATTAAAATTTACTTGAATTCCTAAATTGGGAGAAAATCCTTGAGATAATTCTTTGCCATTCTCTCTGAGCAGAAGAGAGAATGGAGCATATACCGTAGTCGAGCAAGTACTGTGTTGCCAGTGGAAGGCTATGTTTCTTTTTCACACTTTGATGACCCGCAATAATGCTGTAAAGGCAGCAGCATTAGAATCTTTTTGAGTATGTGATCAATGTATAATATGCAATTTATCAAACCATTTTATTAAATTGCGTTTATGTGAAAGTAAAATAGATATTATCCCTCGGTCATTTATTACTGCCAAAAGCAGATACATAAATAAACATCCTATACGAGTTGGCCACATGGCTGAGCCTGATCCTTGAACCAGAGAGAATCTAAATAGAGAAGAATGGGAAATCTGTCTATGCGGCGCGTTTAGTACTGTAAAAAAAAGCAAGGAAAAAACTACCCGAATTTTTATTCCAAAGTTTCGTAGCAAGTGACCGAGACCAAACGGGCCGATTCGATCCTACAGATACCACGAAAATTACCATATTCATGCGTATTTATAGATGGTATACTAATTCTGTATGTTATCTAACATAAAATAAAATATTATAAACAACTGGCCGGGCTCTCCTGCTTGCAAAACGAAAAGAACTTCATTATATGAAAACACATTATAATTCTTTGACAGCAGCTGCTGAGAAATGCCACGGATTCGGTTTTAAAATTATTGATGGTGTTCCTATTGCTGATAATAATGTAGTGATGGAAGCTCAGGGCTGTATATATTTTACGGATGCAGAGTTGTGCTACATCGTATTCGTGATTGCCGCTAATGAAAATGACTACGTAGTTTGTAAGGTGACCAAAGAAAATAATTATTATCCAAGAAAAATTGAGCCGAAATTAACACGTTTTATAAAAGAAAATTTCCTGCAAGCTGTGACAAGGAAAAACATTGCGATGCTGGTAAACCCATAAGTAAGTAAAAAAAACCCACTAAGAGTTATGCGTAAAACATTTATGAATATTAATTTGGTGAACTCTAATTATTACAACGAGGAATCAGAGCCTATGTGCTTTCGTTTATTTGCATAAATCAGTTGTTCAACTGACTTATTTGCACTTCCATCTACAAACATTAGTACAGAGTAGTTTGTTTACGTCACATCATATATGTCAAAGATGGATTTCGTTACGTGTTAATTTTGTTATTTCTAAGTGTGTAACTAGAAAAACTAACCAATAGAAAAATCGATTAGATACGAGTAAGTTAACCGTACAATAAATTTTACACTTATTCCTTCATAATGATGAATAAGTACACCGAAGACGCCAGGACGATTCGACGGAAACGAGCGCACTTTTAACATGCAAATACGCGCTTATATGTAGAATTTTGGTACGAAACACGCCTTCACCCAAAGACTTCTTTTCCTTAGCAGCGGACGATCTGCATTTTACTCGAATTTCTAAATTCGAGTAAAAGTTCGAGCTCTTGTCGAACTGCTCGATCAGTAATTTCATCACACGTAAACCTGAAGCGCACAACGCACCGCGCGTTGGCTGCAGAAACCTCAAGGGAAGTGGGTGCAATACGCGTTTCAGAGTATTATTCTCAATGACATGTTTTTTTTTTAATTGATATGAACAGTTTTCCTAATGATAGACCAGTAGTTTATTTAGTAATAGGTACTAGATGAAAACCCTTCAATTGGTTTTGGAAAACTCATTATAAACGCTTTAGGTCATATTACTTCGTGGCGCGTACTATCTCACATTCCTCTTCTCTGAAGTTCTCTCTCAACGTTCACTGAAAATAACTTTGTTGTCAAAATTACCATATTAGAGGTTTGAATTGACTATCTAGCATCAACGATTTTGAACTGAAAATACTGCACATTCATGATAACCATGATTGTAGTATTTTCTACTGCAACAATAATCGTTTGGTGGATAGTATTTTTAACTTTATTGTTGTAAATAAAACTATGTAATATACCATATGTATTGTTATATTAACTACATTTGCACGGTAATTATAACAACATATCTTTTAAATCTACTATGAGAAATTTACCAAAATTAAGTTGTACCACTTTTAGTATTACTTTTCGAGAATAATTTCAAATGAAGAAAATGTTTTTCTGTAGAAGTATTGCCTTTTATTATTATTTTTCTCACTTTTTAAGTTAAGCTAAATACAAATGCTCATACAAAGTACTTCTTCAACCTTATAAACTTATTTTCGCCTACCGTATAAAGGTGAATTGCTGGACCATCCAAATTATCAGCGTTAATAAGAACAAATTTTTCTTTGGAATTGCCAACTACAAATGCAGCAAAGTGGTTCGAGTATTCCACAACTTCCCATTCTTGGCAAACTATGAACAATTCTTCAACTCCAAATGTTGCATGTTGATTGAAGATCATGTCACAAAGTAACCTTTTTTGTAATCTACGCGTCTGTATTGGACTCTACTGACTGCTCTAAAAGATAATGTTAGTTGTGTACAGAGGGGTGCTTCTTGTTGGTAGAACTGTCGCGTGGATTATAGTACGTTATCTGCAATGACAAAGAAGACATACTTTAACATAAAATCATGAAAACTTTTATTTCCCGTACGGTAATCTCGGCTGGAAATCGATCGGTTATCAATTCAGCAAATCGTGCCATATCCGGAAAAGTATAGCTGATTTGCAATGTAGTAATCCACGATTGTGTGAGCCAGAAACTTCCGGTGAGTTTTATCTAGATGCTGGTGCAGCTGATGATACTTGGATACGATTTTCCCTTTCTCATTGCGCTCCAAAATTGTGTCCAATAGTGCCTTTGTTACCGTAGTCGGAATTAGTTTTCGATGAGTCGTTTTAGGTACACCTACTTGGCCATTACTCCTTACAACTTCAACTGGCCCGATTTCCGCAACTGTCTTCTGGAAAAGCACACTTTCCTCCCAAAACATAAGTTTTTGGCGAAGAGCGTATTTATGCCCTGTCCATTTCGCAACTGAGAA